AGCCCCCCAAAGTGCGGGATTACAGGTTGAGCCACCGAGCCCAGCTCATCCACAAATTTCTAAGAAGCTGCTGACATCTTTCACCTTGTTTCTAACTCCTATTTTTGTTTAAGGACCAAACGTAGATGACTACATCTGGGCTGGTACATAGCCAGTATCTTTCCATATGGCCCAGATCCATCATCCTTCGTAGAGCCTCCTTCCCAGGATCAGAAAGCCCAGATGGAGACAGATGCTTTTACATGGCAGATAAAAGCCAAGGGGAAACCAACAGAGAAGAGAATCAATGGCCTCAGCAGAGTCTCGAAGGATCACTGTGCTGAAGCACCCGCCCAGTCCCTCGTCACTACCTGATGATGAAGAGTGGGTCCTCGCGGATCTTGCTGGCCATGTCAAGAAGGGAATTGGCTCCTGATGGGGCAAAGATGGAGCCCGGAAGGAGCCCCGTCTCAGAAGAGCAGCCTGCCTCCTTCTCCTCCATCTTCTCAAAAACGTATTTGTCAATGGGACGTCCCAGCAGGTACTCGTCACGGTTCACCATCCCACCAGGACCCTGGTACATCCAATCCAGTTTTTCTTCTTTTTTCCTGGTTCAAGGAAAAAAAATTCAATCAAAGAAAATGTAGATTTCTGCAACCTACCCCAAAACCTGAACACAAGGGAGAGAGGACCACAGCTGATCACAGAACACATGCTAGGCATTTGCCATGGGCTAAAACACCATAACCATGTGGCAGGCATGAGAAATGGTACTTGCCTTCATGAAGCTTATGCCTAAGCGGACAGACCATTTTCACACATAAAGGAATTTATGAGGAAAGACAGATTTCCTCGACCTGAGGCATGGGTCTTGGCTCAGAATCTCTTGAGCCTCCTTTACAAAGTCTTCATATTATGCTTTCATTTTTTTTTTCTTTCTTTTTTTTTTTTTTTTTTTTTGAGATAGGGCCTCACTCTTTCTCCCAGGCTGGAGTACAGTGGCACACAATCATGGTTCACTGCAGCTCGACTTCCTAGGCTCAGGCAATCTTCCCACCTCAGCTTCCTGAGTAGCTGGGATTACAGGTGTGTACCACCATGTCCAGCTACATTTTTTTTATTTTTTGTAGAGACAAGGTCTCACTATGTTGCCCAGGTTGGTCTCAAACTCCTGGGCTCAAGTCCTCTTCCTCACAGTGCCGTCTCCCAAAGTGCTGGAATTACATACATAAGACACCAAACTAGCCATATTTTGTGAGTCAGAGTCTCACTCTGTTGCCCAGGCTGGACTCAGTGGCATACTCACAACCACTGCAGCCTCAACTTGCTGGACTCAGTCGATCCTTCAGCTTCAGTCATCCAAGTAGCTGGAACTACAGATGTGCACCACCAGGCTCGGCAAATTTTTGGATTTATTGCAGAGATGAGTCTCGCCATATTGCCCAGGCTGGTCTTGAACCCCTGACTCAGGCAATCCTGTTGCCTCCACCTCCCAAAGTGCTGGGATTACAGGTGTGAGCCACCACACCCAGCCAGCCTGGACATTTTTTTTTTTTTTTTTTGAGTTGGAGTCTCACTCGGTCGCCCAGACTGGAGTGTAGCGGCTGCTCCCGGCCACCGTAGCCTCATCTGTTGGGCTCCGGTGATCCTTCCGCCTCAGCCTTCCGAGTAGCCGGAATTACAGGCATACGCTACCACACCCGGCTGATTTTTTGATTTATTGTAGAAATGAGGTCTCGTTGCCCAGGCGGGTCTCGAACTCGCGGGCTCACAGCCTGGACATTTTTAATGAGAATAATTTAAAACAATACTGAAGGGCCATGACCTTTTAGAATTTTTTTTTCTATTAAAAGGTCTGAGAAACACTACAGTCTGTAATTAAGACTTGATCATGGGCTGCTAGATCAGGCTCCATCTAGCCCACCCAGCATCACTCACACCATTGGAGTCCAGACGGAGGCTTGTGTCTTGGTGAATTGCAAAGACAATGCTGAGGCCTTTATGATGAATACCAAAGGTGGTGATATCTTTACAGCAATCAGAGGCTCTCCCGATTCTCCAGTATGGGTAAAACACAGGTCAGGAGGGAGGCTAGCAACTATTAAAACCAGACCTCCTGGCCAGGCACAGTGACTCAAGCCTATAATCCCCAGCACTTTGCCAGGCACGGTGGTTTAAGCCTATAATCACAGAACTTTGGGAGGTGGAGGTGAGAGGATTGCCTGAGCTCAGGGATTCGCGACCAGCCTGAGCAACATGGCAAGACCTCATCTCTATAATAAATAAATAAATAAGCCAGGCTTGGTGGCTCAGCCTGTAATCCCGCACCTTGGGAGGCTGAGGTGAGTGGACTGCCTAAGCCCATGGGTTCGAGACCCACCTGGGCAACTTGGTGAGACCTCATCTCTACAATAAATCAAAAATTAGCCGGGTGTGGTAGTGCGCGCCTGTAGTTCCAGCTACTTGGAAGGCTGAGGCGGAAGGATCACCAGAGCCCAGCAGGTCGAGGCTGCGGTGGCCGGGAGCGGCCACAGCACTCCAGTCTGGGCGACAGAGTGAGACTCCAACTCAAATAAATAAATAAATAAAATTAGCTGAGCATGGTGGCACACGCCTGTGGTTACAGCTACTTGGAAGGCTGAGGGGAAGTATCGCAGTAGGTCAAGGCTGCAGTGGCCATGCGTGTACCACTGCACTCCAGCCTGGGTGACAGAGTGAGACTCTGATTCTGGCTCGTGTCTGTAGTTCCAGCTACTTGGAAGGTTGAGATGGAAGGATCGTCAGCCCAGCAGGTCAAGCCTGCGGTAGCCATGAGCATGTCAACGTACTCTATCCTGGGTAACAGAGTAAGACTCCAACTCAAAAAAAAAAAAAAAACACAAAACTTGCTCCCAGCCAGCTGGTACATGCAAAGCCCACCTTAGAATCCAGTCAGTCTAACTCCGACACCCATGCTCTGAACCACTCAGTTATTACTCACCAACAGGATGAGAGGCCTGTGGGCCAGCCCTGCAATGTCCTACCACCCTACACTGGCTGCTGCTCCTCACTCACTTGACAGCCCCAACATCCTCCGCGTAGCGCTGCATCTCCTCTCGGGCCCTCTCCTCCCGCAGTTCACGCTGGAGCTCCTCAATCTTCTTCCGCTCAGCCTCATGCTTCTGCTCGGCCTTCCACACTTTCTCCACATTGCGGAGGGTCTGCGGGTGCCAGCTCTTCTTCAGATTCTGTGGCAGACAAAGGGGGGCGTGTAAGGGCAGGACACTTCTAACAACCACAAGGCTTCCTTCCATCAATCTCTCATGCACGGGTGGGAGAGGAGGGAAGGACGCTCAGGTCCTTCCTGGGTTCCCTGCGAACAGTCAGAACTTTAAATGCATAAAAGCCTTCCATTCACTGGCCATGTCTAAGCAGGAGTTAGTGATGGCAAGACAGGAGAAACAGGGCAGGATGGGGAGGGACAGATTTTGGAAGAGAACAGAACTCAAGCACCTTTGGCACTGGACATTCACTCTTAGGAATGTAGCCTATCTTACCTGGGTCCACTTCATGTGCCCTGACTTGCGTGGCTTAAACCCACCTGGAGCCAGGCATGGTGGCTCACACCTGTAATTCCAGCACTTTGGGAGGCAGAGGCAAGAGGATTGCCTGAGCCCAAGGATTCAAGACCAGCCTGGGAAACTTGGCAAGACCTCGTCTCTACAATAAATCAAAACATCAGCCAGGCGTGGTGGTGCACGCCTGTAGTTCCAGCTGCTTGGAAGGCTGAGGCAGAAGGATCGCCGGAGCCCAGCAGGTCGAGGCTGCGGTGGCCAGGAGTGGCCACTCACTCCAGTCTGGGCAACAGAATGAGACTCCAATTCAAAAAATAAATAAATAAATAAAACCCACCTGGGACCTCTTTCATCATTTCTTCCCAGGCATCTCCCTGGGTTCTGATCCCTCCATCACCTTCAAAGAACAATGCTTCTCTCTCTCCTCACATCAGTCACTGCTTCAGGTTATTTTCCCAATCAGGGAAAATTTCTGGAGGAAGTAACATCTAGAACAATCAGCCTAGTGATATGGGAAGGAGAAGCAGGGGACAGATTTCCAAACAGAGGGAACAGCACACGCAACTGCAGTCCCAATGGTGGAAAATAACAGTACAAAGCACTCAGTGTGAATGGAGTCAGAATGCAGGCTGATGGGGACACGACGCAAAGGGAAGCTGACAAAGAAGGCAGCACGATAAGGGCCTTGTGAGCCACCTAAAGGGACTGGACTTGATCCTGTTGACAGCAAGAAATAACAAATAGTCATATGCAGGTGAGAGGCACAAGTAACTGTCATGTGAAGAATGGATAGGAGAGTAGTCCCAACTACTTGGGAGGCTGAGGCGGAAGAATTGTCTGAGCCCAGGAGGTTGTAGCTGCAGTGAGCTAACCATAACTGTGCCAGTTCACTCCAGTTTGGGAGACCAGGAGACCAGTTAAGAAGACTGAGTCAGGCACTGTGGCTCACGCCTGTAATCCCAGCATTTTGGGAAACCCAGGTGAGAGGACTGCTTGAGCACAGGAGTTCAGAACCAGCCTGGGCACTATAACAAGACATCAACTCACAAAAAAAAAAAAAAAATAACCCAGGTGTAGTGGCACGGGTCTGTAGTCTCAGCTCCCTGGGAGGCTGAGGCAGAAGTGTTTCCTCAGCCCAGAAGGTCGAGGCTGCGGTGAGTCAGCCGAGATCATGCCACTGCAGTCCAGCCTGGGTGACAGAGTAAGATACTGACTTTAAAGGGGGGGGCACGGTAGCTCAATCCTATAATCCCAGCACTTTGGGAGGCCGAGATGAGGGGATTGGCTGAGCCCACATGTTCAGGAACAGCCTGGGCAACTTGGCGAGACGTCATTTCTATAATAAATCAAAAAATTGGCCAGGCGTGATAGCACACGCCTGTAGTTCCCGGTACTTGGAAGGCTGAGGAAGAAAGATCACTGGTAGACTCCAGCAGGTCAATGCTGGAGTGGCCGTGAGCATGCCACTGCACTCCAGCCTGGGCGACAGAGTGAGACTCCAACTAGAAAAAAAAAACAGCAGTTGGCAGTTGGGGGAGGGCTGGGTGCCATGGCTCACACTTGTAATCCCAGCACTTTGGAGGCAGAGGTGAGAGGATTGCCTGAGCTCAGGGGTTCAAAATAAGCCTGGGCAACTTGGCAAGATGTCATCTCTACAATAAATAAATAAAAATTAGCCGGGGAGTGAATGTGCCTGTGATTCCAGCTACTTAAAAAGCTGGATCAGAAGGATCGCCTGAGTCCAGCAGGTCGAGGCTTCAGTGGCCATGATCCTGACACTGCACTCTAGCCTGGGCAAGTGAGACTCCAACTTAAACAAATAATATAAATAAATAAACAAATAAGCAGTTACCTGAAGATGACACTAAACTAGATGAGCCTTGATGGAGTCCTGGGACTCAACCCAGTGAAGAGCCCCTGACACACTCCATTGTGGCCGCTGGGCAGGTGGCTAAGCTGATCTATTTGCTGGCTCAATTCGTTCCACTTTCAGGAGGTTAGTATCACCCTGGCCTTGCACCAGCTCCCGTGAGGACATTAATCCCACTTGGGGCCCCAGCTCCCTACAAATGAACTGCACTTTTAAGAGAAACTGCCATGTAACTTATATCAAGTGCTACGAGCTCAGAAGAAAGCTGTCACCACACATCAGAATCAGCATCAAGGGAGGTGAGGTAGTCATAAGGGTAGACACAGAGGCCCAGGCTTAAGCCGGACCCCAGGCCATGACTCAGGGTCAGGGAGAGCAGGACACACACTGCCCACTTCATCCCAGGATGTGACTCTGAACTCTTGCCTAAGGCAGGGAGATGTGTTCCAGGCCAAGATATGCAAAACAGAGCCTGCGTGACCCAGTCGCGACATCTGCCTCCTTTGCTAGCCATGGCTTCAGCCGCACCCCTCCCTGGACTTCCCAGAATTTCCAGCCGGTCGGGTCCCCTTAAACAAACACGCAAACGCCACCTCTCACGTTCGCGACACATCCCGCACACTTTCCCAAATCCCATCCACGATCCTAACGACTCACCCTCGCCCCCCAAAGCAAGGCAGCGTTGCTATGGTTACCACTCCTTTCTCCCCTCCTACACCCGCGGTCGGTTTCCGTTCCCAGCCCTCGTCG